GACTGGGTTTTGTCGGTAAGTGAGGATGTTCTACAGGGGATGCGCATCAGTGCAGATCTATGTTCTGGGAAATTTCCCCGAACACAGACAAGTGTACCAGAGCAGGGAATCCATTTAATCTGAGAAAATTCCCCTAACATAGACCAGCACTCTCATGTGGGGAATCCCTCGAATTCAGGTGCTAGAGAGCCGGTTGTAAGTCCAAGCCATAGTAAACCAGGTAAGTCGTAAAATTAGGACTACCTGTAAATAGCACAGAACAACAGCCTAAATGGCATTGCATACTGCGTACAGGTATCTGCATACTGTCACGGTTCTGACCGTGACATCCAGAAGTTCCCAACAGGGTATTTGAACTATGGTCCTCAAGTGTCTGCTTCTGCTGTCTTGCCTATGGGCCGCTTCAGAACTTGTTTATTCTAGCACTAGGGGGCTGGACTTCACCAGTGGCTCCTACCTGTCTATTACAGTCCACTTGAGGCAGATTGATCATTATTCCAGGTATAAAACACTGCCTCTCCCTGAGGGCAGTGTTAGTTTGTTGTATCCTGTTTCCTAAGACTGACTTGGCTTGTGACCCTTTCTTCTTGGATTATCCCTTATTGCCTCTTCGCTGCCTGCCTTGACATTAGGAACCTTGTCTGACTACTCTTCTGGATTTGCCCTTGTCTGTACTGCGAATTGGAACACCTTACATGCACAGCCCCCATTCACAGATTCACAGTCCTGGTGGTTTCTAACCTTATCACCTGTCAGGTATACTCTATCATCCATACTGCCGCCGGAACCCACTTCCGGGTTCACGGCGCTTAGCCCCGCCCCTTTTCTCTGACGCGGTCCTTCCACGATACTTAGGAAGACCGCGCCAGATTCAAGGGGCTGGATTATTCACGCAGGTACGGCATTGAGATCAGCTGCTCTATTGAATGCTACCGGCTACACTCCTCTCTCGACCTCGGCTTGTAACAAGATTTCAACCTTCCCCACTTCTCGACCTCGGCTTGGAAAACGGACTTCTACCTTCTCCACTCCCAGACCTCGGCTTGTAAAAAACGGACTTCCTTATTTTCCACTCCTAACGCTCAGCTTATTCATAGAGAGTCATAATCTCTCCTCCATTGGGTGAATTAACCCTTCCAATACCAGAACTACCTCTAAGTTAAGTAATCCTTTTTCTCCAAGGAAACCAATTCATATTAATTATTTTCACTTCATTCCTCTCTTGTCAATAAGG